ACTTGAATTGCGAAAAAAATTAATAATAATATTTTAGCATAAAAAATTATCTAATAATTCTATATTCTATTATTCTTCTATATTTAATTTAATTTAATTTATTTTATGATATTTTTTTTATGTTCTCATAATTTAAGACAGTGGTCTGCTTAGAGGCTTCAAAAAATGCATTTTTTCTCAATTCTATTCTAAAACTATTGAAGAATATATAATATTTTCAAAATTTCAGTGGCCAATGCGACATATTTGAGAAGCTAGCGCAATTCTACTGGCCAAGCGTTGAGCTGGTTCGAATGCTCAGGCAGAAGTTTGAAGCGCGTTTTCTCAAATTTTTACTTTTACAAGTCTTAGCAAGCAGTTATCTAGCTTCATTATTAGCTTATTTTCTATTTGATCGAAAAAAGTTGAACCGAAGTATTATTTAAGCCATATTTTTTGCCACTTGAATTGATTTTTTTTTTCAAAAAAGTGTTTTTTTTAAACTTCGATAAAATTTGGAATTTTGCTAGTTTTTTCTAGTGTATTTTCTTAGTTCATTTAGAAGAGACCCTCATAAAAATTAAAAAAAAAAAATGTTTCGGCTGCTACAGGTGCATCGCTTGACCTTTATTACCGGCTATGTTTCATGACTTCAAACTGCAGTCGCTTCAGAAAAATCATCACAACGTTTTTAAATTTTTCGATACCAAAAATTGTTTTTTGAAGCTTAAATATAGTAAATTATTGTCTAAATATTTCGTTTACCGCAATAATTCACTTCTCTTTAGAAAAAATGCTGAAATAGTTTTTTTTGGGCTCTGAATTATTACTTACTGCCTCAATTCATACTGTTATAGAAAGATTAAAAAAAAAATTTAATAATTTTAAAAAAGTCGCCTCAAAAAGCTTACTTCAGTACTCTTAATTTGTATGTATTGTACATATTTCTACAAAACTTCTTTGCAAATAAATTATATATAAAAGAGTGTAAATTTAAAAAAAATGACCAAAAATTACTGCTTTTAATTTCTAAAGTATATTTTAACATTTTTAAACACTTTGTGTTAATTGTTTTCTATTTAACATACATACTACATATGTATATACTCAATAATATACAAATTCATTGACACACTTTACAACCCAGCAATTAACCACAAATTAGTTGACTTGGCATTTTATTACTCATTTTTTCACATTTTCTCCACTTATTTTTGTGTGTATGTGCATTCTAATAGAACTGCATGAGCGCCAATGAAGAATATCAACCACCATTAGTTCGAAGTAATTAACGCATAGCTAACAGTATTAATGCATTTGTAACTAAGTTATCAATGTCAATATCACCTGTCAGGAAATCCTTTATAAATAAAGGTGTTTGAATTCATTACGTACAAACATAATTGCTTAAGCCGTCGCTGCGGACGAGCGCCGCGAACCTTTGATTAGTATTTATTGCATATGAAAGTGTTTTTCAACTGGGTAACAAATTGTTTTAAAATTTTTTATATAATTCTTGAAATATTATTTTCAAACTACCATTTAAAATAAATTTGCCATTTTCGCTTTGACATTTTTGGCGTGAATCTTAATATTTTTAATTTTTTTTGTGGACTTAAAACTTTGTTTTTCAATTGCAATTTAATTTTATTTGAAGGAAAATTTTCTTAAATAATTTTTTAGTTTTATTTCTTTATTTACATTATTTTACATTTTATATTTGCGCTGGAAATTCGATATTTACCTTTTCATACACTAAAATTTTTAAATATTGAAAAGAAGCCAATGAACTACGCTTTCTTTACATAAACAAATATCTATTAAAATTTTCATATTTTTTTGTTGCTTTTTTTTATGAGAATTACGTCAAGGTAGCTTGACATTTTTATCAGCATTGTAGTTGAGCAAATATAGTGACCACCAAAATTGTTCACGAAATTACTTTAACGAAACTAACTAATCTAATGTTGAAGAGGTACACATAATATAGAACAAAAATGTTGAGGGTAATAACTCTCAGATGCAATATTTTTTGAACGAATGATATTGAGTAAATAAATAAATTTTAATTTTGTAAAAAAATTTATATAAGCAAATTCATGCACAAAAACATATAATCTATGCATTTTATTTGTGTAATATAGATTTCAAAAATCAAAAAGGAAATTCGTTTGTTTAATCGAAACGTTGGCGGCCGAGTGGTTAGCATTGCGTACTGCGACCATACAGAAGTTTTAGAAAATAATGTTAATAAGAAAGAGAGGAGTTCAGCCGAAAATCGCTTCAGCGATTACACAGCGCCAATTATATACATATATATGTATATTCGTTCGAAATATCAAAACCAATTCCTCATGTATTTTGCTTGTGTAATTTGGAGAAATGGAAGGAAGAACATAAGATGTGACCCCTCGCCGTCTATAAATTCGGCCTTGAAAATGTATTATGATAAATGGTTTTTATGTTTTCACGTGGTTGCTTACACCAGAGGAATAGCAAAAAAAAGTTAGGTATTTTCACAAACTTAATCCTAAATTATGGGAATGCTCTTGTTTTGGAAGGATTTGAAATTTAAAATCATTTTATAGTTTTTCTTTTTTTATATAAGCTCGATTTTAAAACTTTTATTTTACGTGCTTACAATTCTTTACAAATATTATTAATGCGAAAAGAAATTTCTACTGTTGAAACCGCACAAATTCATTGTTAATACAATATTAATTTTAAAATGGCTACAGCACAAAGCAATTTTAACGCTTAACATAAGCTGTTAACGATTTAACATAATCTGTTAAGGATTTAACATAAGCTGTTAGCGACTTAACATTAACGACAGCATTTCGGTTGGCGTAAAAATGAAATGAAATTTATTTTGATAACTGCTTTAACGAAAGATGAGATACCCAAATGTTTCAATCGATTCGATTGAGATATTTTGATTGACTTGAAGTTCATAGTTACGATGCAGAGTTGACCCATTTATTTCAGAAATACCTTTTTTCAGTTCGCATTGCGAAATTAATATGAAAACCCAAAATGCGTAAATTTTTTGCTAGTTTATTAATATTTATAATAAATATTTGAATTATTAGTCCAAATATACTCAGTGATTTTGGCAACTCTGCTTTAGAGCTCCTCCTGTCTTGGTTAGTAATATTTGTGCGTAAAAAACAAAATATTTTTATAAAAAAAGTGATAAACATTACTGTTAGAGAAATATATACTCGTATACCTAGCCTACTTGATTATCAGAAAAAAATAGTAGCAAACTAAATTTTGAAAAATTTTCCTGTAATAGTACTGACGCCTTCGACGAGAGTTAGTAAATAATTAAATTTAAAAAAAATTAAAATTATATTTTCATACAACTCAGATGATATTTTTTATGTCTTCATTATATGGCTAGATTATACCTCTGGGTTTAAGTAATATTTATTACTTTCTTTTTATTTTTTCTGTTTATTTTGGTAAAGAAAACGAAAAGTCATTAATAATACTTGTTTTTTACTAGAAGAGTATTAAGCATTATTTTCCAATATTTTCTTGCCTTATATAAATTGTTCTAATTGAACATATGTACTAAATTTTATAGCTATATATAAGTATGTATATGAGCCAAAGGCTAAATAATAAGAAAAAATACCTTTTTGCTCTGAATTCTTTTGTATACACTGGTGTCAATATTTAAATGCATAAAATTTCTTCAAAATGATTTTTTGGAAAAAGAACATATATTTATTAATTTATATATGAAACAAATATAATGCATTTTTTTGCTGATAACAAAAATTGAAGGATAAATTTTAAAAATTACAAAAAAAAACCATTTTTATATAAATTAATAATTATTTCTAAATAGCTTGAATAAAATTCTTGATAAAAACTAACGTAACGTAAACTAAACGATAACGTAAAATAGTTTGTATAAATTGAAATAATAAAAAAATCTGCATTAAATCATGTTCAGTTTGAGCGGTCAGTGTGACATAGCAATCAGATCATTTTCAAAATTTATCTAAAGTAAATAACAACAAAACAATGTTTTCCATTTCCTATTCGAAATTTCGATTATGTGAAGATGTAGACCGTCAACTAATAAAGTTTTGATAATTTTGGTATTTGTTTGTTTTCCTAAACATACATCTGTATGTTTGTTATTGTAGGAGAGCCTATAGGCGCGTAGAAAAAAACCTAGAAATAAAACAAAAATTTTGATAGTTTTAGGGTATATTAAAAAATAACTATATACATATATGTATGTACTTACATCTAAGCTGAGGTGTATACGCATTATTTAGGTATATAGTGTATTACAACTGCCGTTTTTTATGATTCAAATAAAGCCAATACTTTCACTTTCTATTTACAAAAAAAAGCTCATTGTAAACGGCAAAGTAAAAAATTTCGATTGAAAAATTTCATCGTTAAAAATAATAATAACAATAATAAAGTGTGCTGAAGAATATCATAAAAGTGTCATATTACCATAGAAGTGGTATAAAAATATCAGAGGCGTTTGATGTTTTCAGCTTTTGTTCGTATTGAAACTCGCTCTGCAATAAGTGTAAAATGCAAAAAAAAAACTGAAAAATTTTATTATAAACAAAAATTATGTAAGCAACGCTATGGTGTTTTAATGACACCTTGGTTCAAATAAATTGTTATTGTCACATTTATTACCATTATAAGTAGCTGACGCGGCGCTCGATAAGCAAAGTGCAACGCAATCAGCAGCAGCTACTGACCGAAAATTGGATTTTGATAAAAATCGAACGAAATTGAAATCTTTTTTCATGTTATTTATTAAATTCTTTCCTCTATACATGTGTATATACACATTTACGAGTACATATGTATAATGGCAACGATTCATCAAGCAAAGCAAAGCAAATAATATAAAAATCTTATCGAATTCTGTTCGCCGTCATAATTTCGCCAATAAATATTTTTTATGTTGGTAATTAAATTTTTATAACTATTTATTAATTAGATTTTTTCCATCTTTTTTCTATTTCTAGCAGCACAAATCAATCAAATGGAAATTATTGCGTCGTAAAATAGAAGCAAATAAATAAATAATAAAATAACAGTGAAACTAAGCAGTGAAATTTTGAGTAAACACAGCAAAAGTGAAAAAAAATATAAAAAACTGTAAAAACCCAACAAACTCAAAATGTATACAAACTCGCTGCAAGTGCAAATAGACGGAATAATTCAAAAAACTTAATTGTGCAAAACTTAAGAAAGGCGATTTGTGAGCGATCACACAAATCATCAGTAAAAAGAAAAAAAACCCAAATAAACTAAAACGATTACGAGAATTTACTCCATTTTTCCTTCGTCGTTTGTTATAAAAAAACCTTCAAAATTATTCTCGAAATGGATATGACTTCAACAGCGGAAGCTGCCGCCCGCAGCTGGTATGATAATCCGCGTTTAGGCAGCTCTCCGCAAACTAACGGCCTCGGTGGCGCCGGTGCCGGTTTGGGACATCACGCCCTCAGTGCAGCTGGCAGCGCTGGGATGGGCGGTGGCGCTGGCCTCGGCGGCATTGGTGGCGGTGGTGGCGGCGGCGCTGGTGGCGGTGTTGGTTTGGGCGGCTTGGACAGCAACGATATGAGCGCATTCTATGCGCTCGAGAGTAATGGCCATCACAGACGCTACTATCCCAGTTATCATCAGCACAGTAAGTGGATATATTTAATTAAATATATTTTGTTTTTATTATCATATTTTATATTTAATTTTCTCAAGCATTTTGAAAGAAAAAATATATTATTTTTAATATCATCGCTTTCCAAAAAATGGCCAAAATTAGAGAAATTGGTTAGGAAAATATATTTGATTAAAGAGTAGAGTGAAAAATAGTTAAAAATTTACTAAATTTAATTTTGTATGCCGGGTATGTCCTGCATATAACATTTGTTGGGAAATTATTTAAAAAAAATTTAATTTGGTTTAATAAAAATTTATGTTAAAAATTAAGAGCAGTCAATTCTAAGAATTTTAGTTTAAAATGTTTTCTTGTTATTACTTCTGTATAATTTAGTTTGATTGCCAAAAATATTTTTTCTGCTAACATAATAATAAGTAAACTTAAAAAACTATTTTTGATTTTGAATTTTTGTTCTTCAATAAGAATATGAATTATTTCAAAAATTGCTTGAAAACTGTTGAGCTTGATCTTAATAACGATCACGAAATTTTTTACATTTTAAAATTTTTTTTTCAGTAAATAAAATACAGAGATGAATATTTATTAACAAAAATTTGTATACGGAATTTTTTTAATTTTGTTAGGAAATAGTTAGGAAACAATAAAAATATTTTTTTCTTAGCCGGTTTTTCTCTCCATTATTTACTATTAAATTGTTCTTCTGATAGTTATACACAATTTTCCGGTTTTTTTTTTGGGAAATACATCATAATATTCCTTATATAATATGTAATGATTTTTAGCACCGAATTTCTTTTTGTTTTATTTTTTTCTTAAAAAACGAACAAATATTTTTAGGTAGTTCGGAGTAAATATTCTGATATATAATAAAAAATAATAATAAGTTTTTTTCCTACAAAATTTTTAAATTTTGTGTCTTTGCTTTGGTATAGTTTTTCTTTAAAGAGATAATAGCTTAATCTTCTATCTAATTTATTTATGTGAGACTAAGAATTCGCAATTATAGATTTTTTAATAATTTTTGGACAGTTCCTTTCTTAACATCTCGACTGTCTATAAAAATTTTAAGCTCAATTTTTACATAAATTCGTTATTATGAATATATTTACATATTTATATGTATGTACTTAAGAAATACTTTTCCGCTGTGTCATTTATGACAAAAAAGTAGCTGAAGTGCAGCAGGATAAGCACACAGAACACATATGTATTATATATGTATACCCCGCTCATATTTGTACATAATTAGATGCAGATGACTGTTATTTTCTATTTATAAACAACTAAATGGAAAATTTCTACGCTCCCTTTCGAACGCAATCATGCTCATACTTCTATTTACTTATATGTGTACCACATGCATCATTTATATGTATGTACCTATGTGTATTTGCATTTGTGTAATTCATTTTTATAAATACATACACACATGTACATGCGAGTACGTATATGCCTAAATTTTTTATATAGAATAATAAAAATGAACTCATTATGGGCGCAATCCTAATGAGTTTTTAATGGCGTTGGCGGCGGTGGCGGCGGCGCCAATGACGGCTGTATTGCTCGGTGAGTGCAAAGCTGACTGTTAGCCAAGGCACAATAACAACTTAAAGCGGCGACCTCAATGTTCATGCCTCCCTCTTTGCGTCGAAATGAAGGCGAATACATATATACATATTTTTGTATGCACATAAATATATATATTTAATATCTGATTGGTGGGAAGGTCGTTTCTTTCACAAGTCTCAATATATATTTAGTATTTGTAATATATTTATATGTAAGTAGTTCATTAATTTAATTAGTTTACTATTTGCAATATATATAAATAAGCCATATTTAAAATACTTTAATATATTTATAATTTATATTTTTTACGAAGAAAAAAATTGCTCAGAAATTGCGCCAAAATACCAACATAAACTCATCCTCTGCTGTTGCTTCTTGAATACAGAAAATATCACAATTCCTACGGTTAACCTTCAATTTTGCCGGCGCTTAAATTTATTACCGCAATAACAGTTTGCACACATACACTTGCTTGTATGCACCTAACCTCATTTTTGGTATTTGCATTCATACATATGTACAGATGTATGTATGTATGTGTATGTGTTTAGCACACTAATCGATATGTTAACGCCTATTTCATTTCGTTTTATTCTCCTTGCACTGGTTTTGCCTTTAAAGATTTTATTTCTCATTCACCTTCCCAACGTTCGTATTTCTTTGCATTTTCTTTGTCGCTACTTTTCTCTATTTTTCTTTTCCTTTCTGTTTATTTTTATAGTTTTCCAATAAAATTTTTCTTTATTAAATGGGTAATGAGTAAATAAAAAGTTTTTGATTATACATACATATGTACGTGGGTACATAAGTGTTTGTGTATATGTATTTGTTTAAGTGGGTATGAATGTAGCGAAATGAAAAAAGCATAGCAAAAAGAAAATAAAATATTTTTTTATTTTTTACCATTTGAGGCAGTTTGTGTGTGTGTAGCTTTGTTAGCAACCACCAGGAAAAACTTTTATTTTTCATTTTAGCTGTTGTTGTTTCTATTTCTATTGACGCCATTATTGCGGTTGTGGTAGCAGGCATGCATGTTATGCCTGTAAATATTATATAACAAATATATTTACAATATTTCAAGTAACTTCCAATAGCCGGGTTTTAGAAAAGGCATGTACATACATACTCATGCTTATACAAAAGTGTACAAACACGTATACATACATACATATATGAGAGTGTGCGTATTTGTATAAAAATACATATATTTACCACCATATTTCTTCCATTATGTACACTTCCTTGCATTTAATTTGTATTTGTATTTTTATTTATTTTTCTTTCTGTTTTTGTTGTTTGGCTTTTGTTATTTTTTCGGTTATTTTCATTTTTCTTATTGTTGCATGTCATTTTTGACATTCGAAAAATACGTCAGCGCTTACATTGCATAAATATGAAGTGTTTTTTTTTTTTTTGTTTTCTATATGTCATATAGCGCCATCATAGATATTTACATACAAAAAGGCACACAAATATGTATACAAAATTATGTAAGCTTATAAGTATGCGCATAAGTATTTTTTTAAGTATGTATATATGTATGTACGACTACTTGAGAGCGTTGCTATTGTTAGAGCATGTCTCCTACCTATGTACATACGTACATCCATTTTCAAAAAATATTTCTAAGTGCGCACATCCCTGAATAGATGAACACATATATATAATACATACATATGTATGTACATATCTACTCATAGATTTGCATAAGCGAATATTGTTCCCTAAACATTCTTTTGTTTATTTTCGTTTGGCATGGCTGCCATAATGGCGGCGGATCTAACCATAAAACAAATTCAAATAAATTAAAATAAAATAAAATAAAATAAAATAAAATAAACTAAAATAAAATAAAATAAAATAAAATAAAATAAAATAAAATAAAATAAAATAAAATAAAATAAAATAAAATAAAATAAAATAAAATAAAATAAAATAAAATAAAATAAAATAAAATAAAATAAAATAAAATAAAATAAAATAAAATAAAATAAAATAAAATAAAATAAAATAAAATAAAATAAAATAAAATAAAATAAAATAAAATAAAATAAAATAAAATAAAATAAAATAAAATAAAATAAAATAAAATAAAATAAAATAAAATAANTATTATTATTATTATTATTATTATTATTATTATTATTATTATTATTATTATTATTATTATTTTTATTAATATTATTATTATTATTTTTATTATTATTATTATTACTATTATTATTCATATTATTGTTATTATTATGATTGTTTTTATTTTTATTATTATTCTTATTAAAATTATACAATTAGAATTATGTTATTCCCAAGAATTATTATTTTTTTTTTAATTTTATTACTTATAGAAAAAAAATTAATTATATGCAATTAAACATTTGACTATTAATATATTCATTTTAGTTCTCAAACGATTTTCCAGCGTTTTGTAAGAAACCTTCAATTAACTCATTACCAAACAACAATAAATTTAGTAATTATTTTCGAGTAACTAACGGTTGACACAAACTAGCGGGAAAATGGTAACTGGATATCAAGATGAAAATACAAAAACATGTGTATATAAATTATAATATTCCCACAAATTTCAACAAAATTATGATTTGCAGCTATTAGCATCGGGGCATGAAAAAATTCGTAAAAAATACCTTTGTACTGAAGAAAAAAAATTAAATAACTTACTTAAATGCCCCAAATTCCGTAAGAATACCAAATTGGCCAACACAAATTGAATTCCAGCGCCAGCAACACCCATTCTTAGCAGCAGCTTCATCGAAACGTTAGTCGCGATTGCTCGAGGAAGCACAATGGCGGTGAAGCGGAAAAAATGGGCGCTGCTGGCAATTTTGACGTTTTGCGCTGCTGTAAATAGAAATGTGAGAAAAAAGAATGTATGGCAAGAACAAAATTACGAGAAGGGCATTTAAAAAAATTCAATTGCCAGCAACACTAACTGTAATTGTCATTGTTGGCGCTGTTAACGGTTAAGTGTGGCAAGCCACCCACATTTTTTCACTTTTCACGCACACCAAAATACCATTGGCATGTGAAGGTATTACACATATTTAGCATACAGAAATACTTATAGGTATGTATATATTTAATGTTACATGCGCACGTGTGTGTATATGTAATGTAGAGTACAAGAGCAGTATTCATTCGCGCGGAAATACCAAGGTAGGTGTACGCGCTTGAGTGATCTGCTTCAACAAAATATAAACTTGTTGTTACTTATATAAATACAATATATATAAAAACATAAATGAGGTACATATACTTGTCTACCCATTTCCAGTTACCAAAATGCCAATTCATTTATTTTTTCTCCTTTCTTGCGACGTGATTTGCATTGTGCGGCAGCGTAAATTTTTTTCCACATAATTTTAGCATTTCGCAAATTCTCCTGCTTCCTCCTCTTGTTTTGAAAAGTATAAAATTAACAA